TAAACCCTAAACCCTAAACCCTAAACCCTGAGCTGGCTGCGCTGCAGCGGGACCTGGTGGCCCATTGACGCACGGCCGGCGAGGCAAAGCGCAAACCCTAAACCCTAAACCCTAAACCCTAAAAAGGCCTTTTGCAATTCAAAGAATATGCCACAAATAAATTATTTACAGAGAGGTTTAGCACCCGCTGCAGCGCGGGGCCCCCAGGGGCCCCCTGCTGCTGCTGCGCGGGTTGCTTCTGGGGGCTGCTGCTGCTTAAAAGTCTTTATTTTGATTCTTTTTATTTTCTTTTGTTTATTTTTCCATTTTTATTTTATTTTATTTCTTTTATTCCAAAAAAACTACTCGGGAAGTCATCGTGCTCGCGGGTGGCTGCGGCGAGCCAGTTGCTGCGGTGTACGTACACCCTAAACCCTAAACCCTAAACCCTAAACCCTAAACCCTAAACCCTAATCACTATAGGCGAGCTCAGTGCTTCCACAGAACGGGGCCAAGGGCCAAGGGTTTAGGCTTTGGCTTTGCTTCTCGCATTTGAACTCCTTTTGGCCTGTTGGCTATACAATTCAGGGTCTAGGGTTTAGGGTTTAGGGTTTAGGGTTTAGCGCGTCTGCCTCCGTTTCACTTCACGCAGCCCTCTTCCCTGCCCCTCAGCTGCTGCAGTGCTGGGCACTGTGGGAGGCAGTTGGTTTAGGGTTTAGGGTTTAGGGTTTAGGGTTTAGGGTTTAGGGTTTAGGGTTTAGGGTTTGCAGTTGCTTTCCTGCTGCAGTTGCTGCTGCACCCCCTCTGCGGGGCCTCTGGCTTCGCTTTTTGCTGCTAAACAAATCTGAAGGCAGCAGCAAAAAGAAAATTGAATTATTAAAAATAATATTTCATTAAAATAAAAGAATTAAATTAAAAAAAATTTTATTTTATTTAATCTGCAACAAATCCATTTGCTGCCATTCTCTGCAGCTCTGCTGCCCCACCCCACCTGCATAAACACACAACTAATGGGGCTTTGCTGCAGCAGCAGCAGCAGCAGCAGCAGCAGCAGCAGCAGCAGCAGCAGCAATATCGTTCGGGACTCAGCTAGTGGCAGCAGGCTTGTGGTCTCTCATCCACTAAACCAGCCGCCTCGCTAGCCACAGCTAGCCACAGCTAGCCACAGCTAGCCGCAGCTAGCTGCAGCTAGCTGTGGCTAGCTGTGGCTAGCTGCAGCTAGCTGCAGCAAGCTGCGGCTAGCCCTAAATAGCTGCAGCTAGCCATAAATATCTGCAGCTAGCCATAAATAGCTGCAGCTTGCCATAAATAGCTGCGGCTAGCCACAAATATCTGCAGCTAGCCACAGCTAGCTGCAGCGAGCCACAAAGAATAGCTGCAGCTAGCCGCAGCTAGCTGCAGCTAGCCATAGGTAGCTGGCGAAGCAGTGCGTCTTTGCCCAAGTTCCTTACACTTCTGGAGCTTCAAGCTGCTGCTAGTTGCTGCTGCTTGCTGCTGCTGCTGCTTGCTGCTGCTGCTAGTTGCTGCTGTTGCTGCTGCTGCCGGTTGCTGCTGCTACATTTTGCAGCGGCTTCAAGGGACAAGCCCATAGACACAGCTGCCTTGCTGCAGCAGCAGCAGCCCGAGATAGCTTAAGCTTATCACAGCAGCAGCAGCAGCAGCAGCGGCAGCAGCAGCAGCAGCAGCTGCTGCTGCTGCTGCTGCTCGGGAAAGACCAGAATTTCACAGTAAGTGACCTATTCGGGTGTACATACACCCCACCACACAACACACTAAATACATGCTGCTGCAGACAGCCCTCAAGCAGCAGCAGCAGCAGCAGCAGCAGCAGCAACAGCAACAGCAGCAGCAGTAGCAGCAGCAGCAGCAGCAAGCTGGCTTGGAGCAGCTGGCACAGCAGAAGAGTCTTCAGCAGCAAGGGCCTCCTTTGTGTTGCTGCTGCTTCTGTTGAGGGATTTAAATAAATAAAATAAATTTAAATAAAATTTATTTCATTTTGAATTTCTTTTATATTCTTTTTTCGATTTAAATAAATAAAATAAATTTAAATAAAATTTATTTCATTTTGAATTTCTTTTTTATTATTTTTTGTTTCTTTTGCTGCTTCTATTCGCTCCAAACCTCTGCAGCAGCAGCTCGTACAAATCACCCTGCTGCTGCTGCTGCTGCTGCTGCTGCTGCTGCTGCTGCTGCCGCTGTTGCACGTGCTGCCGCTGCTGTTACTGCCGGTGCTCCTGCAGCAGCAGCTGCTGCTGCTGCTGCAGCCGGCGCGTTCTTTCTGTCTTTCTTGACTTTATTTTTATTTTTATTTTTATTTTTATTTTTATTTTTATTTTATTTTACTTTCTTGTCTTTTTTGCTGCTTCGTTCTTTTGTGTCTCTCAGAAGACACAAAATGTCTTGCCTACTTCAAATCTAATGCAGCTAAGGGGTCCAGCTGCTGCTGCTGCTGCTGCTGCTGCTGCTTTTGCTGGGACTAAGTCTACTCCTAGCAGCGGCAGAAACTGCAGCAGCAGCAGCAGCAACTGCAGCAGCAGCAACTGCAGCAGCAGCAACTCAGCAACATAGGGCGACCAAATTGACGCCGCAATCAAAAACGGTCTTTACTGCAAAGAAAAGGCTCATGTGGCCCATCTGCAGCAGCAGCAACTGCAGCAGCAGCAACTGCAGCAGCAGCAGCTGCTGCAGCAGCAACTGCAGTAGCAGCGACTGCAGCAGCAGCAACAGCAGCAGCAGCAACTGTAGCAGCAGCACGACTCCACCGTAGGCACCATGCTTGCCTCCAACCGTTCACCGCAACACTAGCACTGCTGCTGTCTGCTGCTGCTGCTGCTGCTGCTGCTGCTGCTGCTGCTGCTGCTGCTGCCCCTTCTGGCAGCATGTCCACACAGGCGTTGCACTGTGGGGCCCCGGGGGCCCCAATAGTTGCACAAGCCTCCTGGGGGCCCCCAGGGGGCCCCCGGGGGGCCCCCGAGGGGCCCCCACTAAGAGCTGCTTAACGGGGGCCCCTGGGGGCCCTGTGGGGCCCACATAACACCCTAAATAAAACAGGGTACAGCTGGGGGGCCCCCCTAATGGGGGCCCTCAGGAAGACACATACAACTAGGGGCCCCTCTGAGAGCCTTTACAACTGGGGGCCCCCTGGGGGCCCCTACAAATGGGGGGGGGCCCCCCGGGGGCCCAACAAAGTGGGGGCCCCCAAAAGGCCCCTAACGGTGGGGGCCCCCAGGGGCCCCCCTGAAATAGGGGCCTCCAGGGGGCCCCTACTTTACTGAAGGGCCCCTGTGGGGCCCCTGTGGAGCCCCACAGGGGCCCCTGTGGGGCCCCTGTGGGGCCCCTGTGGGGCCCCAGAGGGGCCCCTGTGGGGCCCCAGAGGGGCCCCTGTGGGGCCCCAGAGGGGCCCCTGTGGGGGGTTTGGGGGCCCCCGGGGGCCCCTGCTGCTCAGCTGAGGGCCTCGAAAGCTGCTGCTGCAGCAACAGCAACCATGACAAGACCTGCTGCCAGATTTAAAGAAAACTCGCTGAGCCAACGCTGCAGCAAAAGGCCCCCCATTACCCCCAAAAAGGTCACCAGCGCGTGCCCGATGCAGCTTCCTGAGCAGCAGCAGCAGCAGCAGCAGCAGCAGCTGGCGCCAAAGCAGCAGCAGCAGCAGCAGCAGCAGCAGCAGCAGCAGCAGCAGCACTCTCCCCGCGTCGCCAGCGACAGCGTCCGCCGCGGCGCGGCCGCAGCACGCACGCCAGCAGCAGCAGCAGCAACCCGCACCGCTGCAGCAGCAGCAGCAGCAGCAGCAGCAGCAGCAGCAGCAGCAGCAGCGCACCTACGAAAACCCCGTAAGGGTTTTGAGCAGCAGCTAAGGAGACAGTCGCAAACATGGACTTGTCTCCCCACTCCGCCAAAAAGACCAAAAGAAAAACTTCCCGCAGCACAGCCCAAGACTCGGGGGCCAGCCCCAGACGCGTGTACTGTCAGCAGCAGCAGCAGCAGCAGCAGCGGCGGCGGCGGCAGCAGCAGCAGCAGCAGCGGCAGCGGGGGGTGAGCGGGGTGTGCAGCGGGGCGTGCGGAGGGCTGGGGAGCGACTCGGGAAGCAGCGAAGAGCAGCAGCAGCAGCAGCAGCAGCAGCAGCAGCAGCAGCAAAGGCAGCTAGCAGCCGCAGCAGCAGCAGCAAAGGCAGCTAGCAGCAGCAGCAGCAGCACGTTCGTCTCGCGGAGCTCCCCCGCGCCCTCCGTCCGCCCAGGGCCTGCCCTCAGGGTCTACGCCTCAGCGTCTAGCTAGGGTTTAGGGTTTAGGGTTTAGGGTTTAGGGTTTAGGGTTTACGTAAAAACGCTCCAAGTCCTCTTGGGCCTCCTCCAAACCATCGCAAAACTCCTCTTCTCCTTTTTCTGCCGGAGACAGCCGCGTGGACACAGAGGCATCATCAGGGGGGCCCCCCTTGGGGGCCCCCCCAAACCCTGGGGGGGGGCCCCCCTTGGGGGCCCCCCCAAACCCTGCGGGGGGGCCCCCCTCGGGGGCCCCCCCAAACCCTTCTTCGGGGGCCCCACAGGCCCCCCCCTCCGTCTCGCTGCTGCTGCTCCTCGCCAGCAGCACAGGGGCCCCTTCTGCTGCCAGGGGGGCCCCCAGGGGCCCCAGGGGGGCCCCCAGGGGGGCCCCCAGGGGGGCCCCCAGGGGGGAGCCTAGGGAGGCCCCTGGGGGGGCCCCCAGGGGCCCCCCCACCGCAGGGGCCCCCAGGGGGGCCCCCAGAGGGGCCCCCAGGGGGGCCCCCAGGGGGGCCCCCAGGGGGGCCCCCAGGGGGGCCCCCAGGGCCTCCTGGGAAGAGCGGGTTGAGAGCCTTCTGGGGGCCCCCCTGTGGGGCCCCCAGGCCTTTTTGGCTTTGTAAAGATGGTGCAAACCAAAGAGCAGCAAAGCTGCTGCTGCTGCCAGCTGCAGCAGGGGGCCCCCCCTGAGGAGGCCCCCCAGGGGCCCCGCGAGCCAGGCAGAAGCTGCTGCGGACTGCAGCAGGAAGCCTGCTGCAGCAGAAGCAGCAGCAGCAACACAGAGAGCAGCAGCAGCAGCAGCAAACACCAACAGCCGGCTGTACCGCAGCGCCAAAAGAGCAGCAAGAAAAAAAGTTCTGTCTCCCAACTCTGTAGCAGCAACTAAGGAAGCGCTGGAGGCCACAGACCGCAGAAACTCAACAAACCCCCCCCGCTGCTGCTGCTGCTGCTGCTGCTGCTGCTGCTGCTGCTGCTGCTGCTGCGGCTGCTGCTGCTGCTGCTAGGGAGCAGGAGAGAAAGCTGCGCAGCTCTTACTCCCGCTGCGGAGCTGGAGTGTACATACAGCTGAGGGGAAAGAGCTCGACTTCGCCCATGCCTCTGCAGCGCCCTCTGGGCTGCGCAAACCCTAAACCCTAAACCCTAAACCCTAAACCCTAAACCCTAAACCCTAAACCCTAAACCCTAAACCAGCGCGGCGCATGGAAACCCGCTCAGCATAACATTGAATCGAACCTCGAAAGGAAAAAATATGACCTCGACGGGTGCTGCAACGTGCTGCTGCTGCTGCTGCTGCTGCTGCTGCTGCTGCTGCTGTAGCAGCAAGGGGCGCTGGGGGCCCAGCATCCCCCAGGGCGGGGCCCCCAGCAGCAGCAGCAGCAGCAGCAGCAGCAGCAGCAGCAAAAAATGCAATTAAACTTTAATTATTTTTAATTTAAATTTAATTTGTTTTCTCTTTTGTCAGCTGGGAAGAGGAGCAGCAGACTAAATGAGACGGGGGCCCACCTAGGGCCTCGTTTCATTGAAGCTAGCAGCTGCAGCAGCTGCTGCTACACGGGCAGCAGCAGCAGCAGCAGCAGCAGCAGCAGCAGCAGCAGCAGCAAGCTTGCATGCAGCGCCAGAAGCTCAGCAGAGCACGCCTGAGCAGCAGCAGCAGCTGCCGCCGGAGCAGAAGCTCTATCGCAGCAGTAACAGTGCAGCAGCAGCACTGCAGCAGCTGCAGTGCAACAGCAGCAGTGCAGCAGCAGCAACAGCACTGCAGCAGCAGCAAAACAGCAGCAGCAGCAGCAGCAGCAGAATGTGGGGGTCTCTGTACCTTTCGCAAACCCTCAGGGCCATCACTTATAGGCAGAGGGTCCCTTATGGCGTGAAGCAAGTAAGTAAAGGCATAGGGGGCCCCCAGGGGCCCCCGGGGGCCCCCCAGTGGGTACCCAGGGGCCCCCAGAGGGTAACCAGGGGCCCCCAAAGGGTACCCAGGGGCCCCTTGGGGGCCCCACAGGGCCCCGGGGGCCCCTGGGGGTCCCTAGGGGCCCCTGGGGTCCCCCCAGTGGGTACCCAGGGGCCCCCAAAGGGTACCCAAGGGCCCCTTGGGGGCCCAAAAGGGCTCCGGGGGCCCCTGGGGGCCCCCGGGGGCCCCCAGAAGTCCTCCAGGGTTTTGTGGGGCCTCTTGCTGGGTAGGGGCGTTGGCCCTGAGGCTTGGTTCATTGGGGCGTTAGATTTGAGTTTTAGGGTTTAGGGTTTAGGGTTTAGGGTTTAGGGTTTAGGGTTTAGGGTTTAGGGTTTAGGGTTTAGTTTAGGGTTTAGGGTTTAGGGTTTAGGGTTTTAGGGTTTAGGGTTTAGGGTTTAGGGTTTAGGGTTTAGGGGGGTTTAGGGTTTAGGGTTTAGGGTTTAGGGTTTAGGGTTTAGGGTTTAGGGTTTAGGGTTTAGGGTTTATGCAGGGCGCGGGAAACACCCCCGCGTTGGTGAACAGTTTGTTGACTTCGCTGTGCAACATTTCGCCCTTCTTTTCTGTGCTCAGACTGAGGCTTACAAGAAGGCCAAAAGGCAGGCCCGCGCAGCAGCTCGACAGGCTCGACAAATGAAAGTGGGGTTTACTGCTCACGAAGCACTGTTTAGGGTTTAGGGTTTAGGGTTTAGGGTTTAGGGTTGAGGGTTTAGGGTTTAGGGTTTAGGGTCTGCGCAGGCTGCCGGTGACTGCGGAGCCCTTGGCTCGAGCGCTTGAGTCCGAGGGTTTAGCATTTAGGGCTGCGTGTGCAGGCTTTAGGGCTCAGGGTTTAGGGTTTAGGGTTTAGGGTTTAGGGTTTAGGGTTTAGGGTTTGCGCAGGAGGCGAAGGGCGTGCTGCTGGAGGGCCGCAAAAGCCTGTACATGTCGCTGCAGCAAAACACGGGGGTTTCGTGGTTTAGGGGTTTGAGGGTTTTGAAGTTTTTGGAAATGCACCAAGCAGCAAACCCTCCTTTGTCGCAGCAGCAGCAGCAGCAGCTAGCAGCAGCAGTGGCCCTCGCCAAACTCGGCCCCTGAACGCAAACCCTAAACCCTAAACCCTAAACCCTAAACCCTAGGCCCTGGCGTCCTGCGCGCAGGGCAAGGCCGGCGCCCAGCAGCAGCAGCCACGCCCGCACGCAGGCCCGCCCACAGCCTAGGGTTTAGGGTTTAGGGTTTAGGGTTTAGGGTTTACGGCTTTGAGACATTTCTTCCTAAACCCTTGGGGGCCCCCTGGGGCCCCTGGGGCCCCTGGGGCATAGAGGCCCCCCGGGGCCCCCCGGGGCCCCCTTGGGGCCCTTTAAGCCCATTTGGGGGCCCCCCAGCCTATTTGGGGGCCCCCCAGCTCTTTTAGGGGCCCCCCAGATCACTTGGGGGCCCCCCAGCTCTCTTGGGGGCCCCCCTTGAGTAAGATGGGGCCCTAAGGCTTCTTTAGGTGCCTCTAAACCCTTTCCAAACCCTCATGGGGGCCCCCAGGTTCATTCGGGGGGCCCCTGGGCTACTGTGGGGCCCCCCAGGCTCACTGGGGGCCCCCAGGCCCCCTTTGGGGGCCCCCAAGGGGGGCCCCCTTTGGGGGCCCCCAATCCCCTGGCAGCAGCAGCTACGTGCAGCAAACTGCAAGAATTAAACTCTCTTTGAAAAGGCCAGTGGGAGGCTTGAGAGCCCCTTAGGGTTTAGGGTTTAGGGTTTAGGGTTTGGGGGGCGCAGCGGGTTTTGCACTGTGCAGTTTTGCTCCTGTTGCTGCTGCACCTGCTGAGCTGCTGTTACTGCAGCAGCAGCAGGTGCCGCTGCCCTTGCTGCGCTGCAGCACCTGCTGCGCTGCTGCTGCTACTGCAGCAGCAGCAGCAGCAGCATGTGCTGCTACACCTGTACTTCACAGCAGCAGCAGCAGCTGCTGCTGCTGCTGAGCTTGCGACGCTGCTGCACCTGTCACTGCGGCTCAAGTTGCTGCAGCAGCAGCAGCTGCTGTTCCAGCTTCTGCTGCAGTTGCCGCTGCAGTTCCAGCTGCAGCAGCAACAGCAGCTGCTACTGCAGTTTCAGCTGCTGCAGCGGCAGCAGCACCAACAGCAGCAGCTGCTGCAGCGGCAGCAGCACCAGCAGCAGCAGCTGCTGCTGCTGTGTTTTTTTCTACTTCTTAAGCAGCAGTTTCGGAGGGTTTAATGAAGCCAAATTGCTGGAGGCGTTGAGCAGCAGATGCGGCGAAGGTTTCTGCTGCTGCTATCTCGTACTGCAGCAGCTGAAACAGCACCAGCAGCAGCTGCAGCAGCAGCAGCTGCAGCAGCAGCAGCTGCAGCAGCAGCAGCTGCAGCAGCAGCAGCTGCAGCAGCAGCAGCTGCAGCAGCAGC